CCAATCTAGCTGCAAATTGCGAAATGCTCACTCCACCTTCTACCCTACTAGTTTGAAATCTCTTTCTTAAAACGTTCTTCAATCATATCATAATGTTTCAACAAAGCTGACATTAAAACATTGTAATCGATGGACTCTGCTGCAGGCAATGCCGAAAAAACATACAATAATGCACTAAGATTAATAACCCAACTCCCGCCCCTATTCTCATCAAACAATGGCAGCTTTGGACCCTTGGAACTAACAATACACTGAGGCAACTGTTCTACACCTTCATTTTGACCATTAGCTTCCACGTGCAACCTCAACCCTTCAAGTTCATACTGTCTTACTTTTTCTTTCTCTCTTTCTACATATTCTCTTACCTTCTCTCTCTCTCTTCACGGTTTTTCTCACTCTCTATTGCCTCGCGTTATCTGTCTCTTCCCTCACATTATCAGTCTCATGTTCGTTTTCATCGTTCAGCCTCATGTTTGGCTACTCTTTAATCCCTCTCCTCACGCTCATTTTCTCTCTTCCCACGCTCTTTCTGTTCACGCTCTACCCTCACAAATTGAACCAAGCCTCCCCCTCATACCCCAAATCTCCTCCAAATCTGATTAAAATCTGAAGTAGTGTACGGGCTTTAATTATTTTGGCTATAAACTTATTTTAATTTTATGTTTTATTACTTTTGTTATTAATGCCTTTTTATTTTATTATTTTACTTTGATTTTGTGATTTTTTTAAAATTCCGCCCTACATACATCTGAGCCGATGCCTATGTAACGAGATTTCAACGAGACCCACTGTCGACGTTTTTAGTCAACGAATCACAGACCTTCTATAGCGCACATGATGACGTCACTGGGCAGAGTCAGGTGGCAAACACACTCAAATAAATTGGCGGATTATACCGACGTTAGCGACCGAGAAGAACACGGCTTTTCGGTAAGTTTATCATTGTCAAATGCAACGAAAGTCATTTTTTATGTTTATATTGTGGCTCAAATGGTTCGAGTTTAGATTGTTATTTTGCGTAGTTATTCTGGGAGTGACGATTTTGT